ATTATCTCTTTAACAACAAAACTGGCCCATGTGTGATAACGTCCTTAGGTTTCAAACAACTTACAATTTAGAAAGAACAATACAGCTGGAAAAATATGAAAAGTTAATATTAAAATGGAAAAACTAGTCACTATTTTAAAAGTTCAGTTTAAAACAATACAGCACTTTTAGCTCATTCTATAAAAACCATACATTTTAAAGGCTTGTCAGAATAAAAAGATTTATGCCTGCTGGCAGGAGGACATCAAGTTGGTTGCCTTCTGTCTTCCCTCAGAAGGGAACTCCAGAATCTAGGGGGAGCCACCAAGAAGGCCCTGTCTTGCATTATCACCAACCATGCTTGTAACAGTCCTGGGACCAAGAGAAGGACCTCTCCTGATAATTCTAGGGTCCAGGCAGACTCATATAGGGAGATATGGGTCCAAAATATATATATGCAGAAATAATCCAGTTTGAGACTGCTTTAACTGCCCTGGTTCAATGCTAGCTCTGTATTAGAGAGCTCTGGTGCCACAATAAACTACAGTTCCCAGGATCCACTAGCACTGAACCAGGGCAGTTAAAGTAATCTCAAACTGGATTATTTCTGCAGTGTGTTTGGACCATGGTCTGCCAAACAGCCTGGACCCAAGCCGTATTGGTCCATCTAAATTTTAATCATTTTGGGTGCAAGTCTGTATATTTTTCACTGGTTGACTTAATTTTATGCCTCTCAATTTTGAAGTTTATATTTCAGAGTTTTGTATGGTATTATACTGTATTATTTTAAGACCGTACATTATTCTGTATATCTTTTTGGAATAAAGGTGTTGATTATAATTTTTTAAAATAACAAATGAGTGAATAAATAAATAATAAGAAACATGAACAAATGTCAATAATTGTGGGCTGCTGAAAGTGAGCTTTGTTTCTCTGGTAATTTTGATGAGTATGCAAGGTAAGATTCTATCCATTTACTACAAATCTTGACGTCTCCATTGACATATGCCTGCATCTGTGGAGAATCACATTATGATGAGGGCAAGTCATCTGTTTATTCACATATTTAAATTGTTTCCATGATGCCTCCATTTTTTATTCTTCATTTCCCCACTTTGCAGTGCACTGTAGCTTAGGGGCATTCAGGTGCAGGAAAGTAGAGTGATATTGCCACCAATTCATTTTTTTTTAAATCACTGAATTGGTGAGCCTTGCATCTGTCCCTATGAATCTGTGCAACTGAAAACAAATGGGATTCATGTCAAGGCTATTCATTATTTTTGATATAAAAAATTGAATGGGAGAAGGGAAGAGATTGTGATAAATTGCTCAGATTCATTAAACTCAAGCTAGCTTTGTGTATGTTAATGAATTAGAGGGAAAAGCTCAGAAAATCCTGGCCACTTTTATTCCTTTGTGCCGAAAATAAAATATCATGGAGAAAACAGTAAACCATCTTATCTCTTTCGGCCCTCATTTCTTGCTGGATACTCTACTGAAGATACTGAGTTACAGATTTTTTAAATAAAAAAACAAACAAAACCAAAACACACCAAACAAACAACAAACCAAAAACCCCCAGAGCAGATAATAATTCTAAAACAAGGCCCAGTGCCTCTCTATCATAAATAATGATCTTCAGCTAGAATAATTTTGTGGTTGATTCAATCTTTCCTCCCCCTCCCCACACTTCTGGATTTAGTTTTGCTTAACTCCTGAACAGT